AAATGATTTGCCCAAGGACACCAAGCTTGTAAGTGGTAGAGCTGCTTCAAACCCAGGGCTCCTAATTTCCAACCCGCGGCCGTAGTGGAGTACAACACTGATAAACAGCACAGTAACTGCATATTCTCCCTTTAGAGATGCGTCTACCGAATGCGTAAGGCAGTACTGACAACTTCCCTCCTCAGCCTGGCCCATGATTGCCTCTTCCACTCCTGGGAACGTACCCCGGATATATGAGAGCATCCTTCCACCTGCGTGGCACCTTTGTTCATAAAGGCCCCAGAGCTGAAAATTCCCCACTCCTCCTGGACCACAGCATCCTGTAGTAAACTGCGATGTGTCTACATGGTGCAATGCCAGTCAGCTAGGAGAATGGAAGCATGACGGTTACATACAACAACATGGACGAGGCTCCCAGACATGCTAATGTGAAAGGAGCCAAGGGGACAAAGTGACACTGCATGGTTCACACATATGGTGGTCACTTACAGGCAAAACTATGTCCGGGGACGGCTACTGACTGGGAGTGGAACTACAGGGTCTTCCAACATGCACCTTCCTGTGCGGCAGTTTCAGGTGCACCCATGTCCATGAAAATGCCCTGCCTGGCTTACTTTACGGTATGAATGTCACGGCTCAGTACAACAGTAACAGCCCACAGGCAAGTTGCAGTATTCTCACACACAAGTCAGGGCTCTGAACTTGGTTGGTATAAATCAACATCAGCCGGCACCAAGCTGCCTGAGAGCTTATGAAGACATAGCAAGGTGGAAGAGAATTCTTGCTCTGCTTCTCATCTGCTGTACAGAGGAGCTGGTGGATGGAGGGACTGCAGGTCCCAGGAGCAGTATGCTGGAGGTCCCCGGAGACCAGAGTTATACACGCCAGTGGGGTGTTAGGACGGCGGCACAGGCACAGATCCTCACGCCTCACACAGCTGTAGCGGGGGGGGGCACTGCAATGAGCTCTAGAAGGCAGCTGGGAGCACCAGTAGGTAGGTGGCTATGAAGGCTCTGCAGACAGGGCAAGTGACGCAGGGGAGGGCCCAGCTGTGGCCACAGGATCAGCTGAGGACACCTGGCTGACCTCTCTATTTTGGGATGCACCAGCAACAGTTGCCTCAAGTTCAATGAACCCCAAATCTTTCATCTTCCCCCTCTGAAAGTAATAGCTTCCTCATGGCTTGTTCACTTCTGTTGGTGGTAAATTCCATTCTCAGGTCGGCTCGCATCTGACCACCTGGGAACTGCCTTCGACTACTCTTTCCTTCTCGTGAATAGTGTTTGAGCTTTTCCTCTGCACTTACAAACTTACTCACTCAACTGTTTATTCCCCAGTAACCTAGTCTTATGTAGGACAAAATGATAAGAAGTAACATTTATTTACTACTCTCTATATGCCGAGTGCTGGTGTAAACACTACATAAATTATTGCACTTAACCTTTGAAAAAATGCACAAAGCAGGTGAGATGATTTATAGTTAAAAACTTGGCCAAAGCCCCAGGTTGATCAATAGATTGGAGTTGGGTTTCAACCCCCTTCTATGTGACTTCAGTGTGGAACTTCAATGCCCCTAAGCAATCTACCTCATGCCCGTTGATGGCTCCTGGTGTGGTTACAGGCTGCTTATCCTTCTTCACATATATGTATATATATTTTAGTTTTATTTTTGAGACATACTTTCCCTATGTTGCCTACACTGGTCTAGAGCTCCTGAAATCAAATAGTCCACTCATGCAGCCTCCCTAATAGCTGCAACTCAGCCACAGGCCACCACACCTGGCCTTCTTCATATCAGCAGCTCTTAGCAATGTCCCTTTCATGGACAGGGCACTCTAATACTGGTATTATTAGCATTATTTTGAGATCCTGAAGGGGCAAAATTGAGCAAAAACTTTACGACTCAAGAATTATTTGCTCTAATTGAGTGAGATGTCCAGGCAAAGGAGAATAAGCAATCTCAAATCATTTCTCGTGCCTTCTGGAATTCGGTCAGTGGAGGACCCTCACAGGCACAGGGTCAAGTCTCGGCCTCTTCCAGGACACAGGGTTTCTGCTCTCAGTCCAAGTGGGGGCAGGGGACGGCAGGAGGAAAGGACATGTGTCACACAGCTCCAAATCCTAACCATGCTTCTGCCATGGGCCATCATACCTCCATGCTCAGACGGGGTGACAGACATTTCACTGCACCCTGAGATGGGAAACTCACAACTGTTTTGCAAACAACTGTCATTCATGGTCCTAAAATATCTGTGCTTGGCACCGGTTTCTGAACCCTGCCTACACTCCCGTAATCAAGATGCGGCATAGCTGTGGCCTGTGGGTAACATAAAACCCGACTTGCAAATATTAGGCACATGGACCAGCTGTCTGGAGGAGCTGATTAATCCCCGGCAGAAATTTCAGCATGCAGCACGCATGCCATCTGCAGAATATACCAGCAGATACACGCTAGGCCGTTTCTGCCTGCTGAAAAGATGGGGGCAGGGTGGATCCTTGGGAGGAATTTTATCAGCAGCTCAGTTTTCCTCGGACTGGAAAATGAAAGTCTTTCAAAACCTCCCACACATGCACATTAGATGGTGCTCCTTAAAACTCTCCTATACAAGAGAAAAAGGGACTGTGATGAGCCCTCTCCTTTTCATTTTCTGTTCTTTTAGCCACTGTCCTGATGAAGGTAATGAGCATGGTTTAAGAGGGTGAATGCAGTAAGGTAACTATTATTTAACACTGGATTCAAGCGCTGACTGTCATTTTCCCACTGTGAGACTCTACAAGTGACTCCACCCTCGGAGTCCTCTCCATTGTTCTCCACATACATCCCGCCCCTGGAAGGTCGTGCTTTGAGGTATTTCACACATGCCCCTGCCCCTTCCTTTCCCTCTGCTGTAGGACGGCATGTCTTTTACTTTCTCTGGAAATCTTGAGGCTTCACACGCTTTGTCTCCCCCGCCCGCAGCTCAGTCCTCCAGGTCATTTATTTCTCCCTACTTATGTCTTTCCCGTATTTGGCATGCATCTGAAGGTGTTTGGTAAAGGAAAGAAAGAAGAACAAACATTCTACCAGGGAAGGCTGGGATCTTCCACTGGGAAATTCTGTAAGGGAAAGCAGGACAAAGGGTATGGGCTGACCCTGCGAAGAAGTGCAGGCAGCCTGGGGCGGTGGAGGTGGGGAAAGCCACCAGAAAGACCCTGAAGACACAGAACGTGGGTGGAGCTGGATTACCACTCTCTGGGTTCAGCCAGGGGAAGTGCTTCCACAGGGAATGAGGTAGCTCGTGGTCCCACAACCTTCCCATTTATCAGTAGTTCAAGGGCATTAACCACAAACTCCACAGAGCTGGAAAGAGGGAAGAAAGAATTGCACCCCTGGCACTGAAACTCACACACAGAAGAAAGTGTATCTGTTCTCATTCTAGCCCTTCTTAAAAGGAATTTTCGCGTCTTACAATGTTGCTAGCCTGCTCTCTTTCCCAGTCTGAGGGGTCACGCAGGGCTCAGTCCATGGTCACTCAGACACCCTCGGCTCACCTTGCCTCACAGTCAGGTGCACTCTCCCCTCTGCCTTGCTGTGCCCATCAGGGCTGCTAGGTGCCTGTGATTAGATGTGCAGCCATCTGGATCTGCGAGCGCGTGTGCTCACCGCTCGGGCATTTGGCTCTGGGACAAGAACTGCCACGTGTCCGGGAAATTCAAATAGCTGAGCTGTCTGACCAACATGTAATCGAGCATTTGGCTGCTATCTGTACCAGCCAGGGTCTTGGTTTAACATTTTCTCTCATCGCTTGAGATTGCAAAGAATGTTTCTATTCTCAGAGTCTAATAAAAGGAGGAAAGAACTGGCATGAAATGAAGAATCAAAAGGGAGAGGAGGAGGAGAATTTCAGAGATGGTCACTATGAAATTCTGTAGGAAGCACCACCCTGTCCTAGATTCCAGCCCCCGGTCAGCCTTGCTTGGAATGATGTGACTTCGGTTAAAAACAGCGAAAGCGCCTCCCTTTCCCAGTTCCTGGCCTTGGCGCTGAGGCAGGAGCCAACACTTACTCAAAGACTTCCTACTTCATTCCACCCATTCTCCTGGGGACTGATCTGTGAAGATCCAGGAGGAGGGGAGAGCGCCCTGGGAACTCCTCCCTGGCACCTGCAACCCCCACTGCACCCTGCCCGCTGCCCCGGTGCAGTGGCTCTGGCTTGGGCTGTGTTTCACGTCTACGAGTTTTTACAGGGGCAGAGGATGCTGGAGGGTAGGGCTTCCTGAGGGACTTCACTGTCCCATCCACAGTCCCTTCAGACTTTCTTTCTACCCTTCTTCTCCTGGCGTGGACCCATGACAATTCACCGATGGGCTCCTCTGACCTCTGGCTTCTGGTTGGGCTTGGTAGGAGGCCCGGACGGTGGCTGGAGAGCGAGGTCAGGGTTAATCCCCAACATGTCCCTGAGTCTCTTCTCTACCAGGAGGCTCTCTTACTCTGACGTTTGCTCTCACGCTTTGCCATTCAGGCCCTGGCTATGACGCTGTCGCAAGCCCTGAGGTATTGCACTGTGACCTGCTGCTTTCCCTAAATCCTGCCTGTGCCTTTGTAAAGGCTCCTTATCAACTTTTCCATCCCGAACGTGCCTCCCATTTTCTGCTGGGAATTGGACTGAGCAACGAGCTTGAATCTGACTTATCTCTCGGCCTTCCATAGCCCTCTCTGTGCAGAAGCAGAGAGTCCTGAGCCTGGATGCAGTGAGGAGGGCGCACGAACAGAAGGACCACAGAAGTGGACCCGACTCGCTGACACACAGGAAGTACATCCTCCACCCGCTAAGTGCACTGCAGCCTTCCGCCTGCAGGCTGTCCAGCTCCTGCCAGATCAAAGAGGAGAAAGGAAAGCCGGCAAAGAATGGCATTTCAGATACTCTCTGTAGGATGGGAAAGGAAGGGGGAGAGTCACAGAGTAAACAGCTACCGTTTGCACAGATGTGACCACGCATCATCAGCACTCAAGTGCCCACCTTGTCTGGCTGTGTACTCATTGTCTTCAATTAACCGGGCCAATCCAAAGTCAGCAATCTTGCAAATTAGTCCATTCCCCACAAGAATGTTTGCTGATCGCAGGTCTCTGTGGATGTAATTCATGCGCTCGATGTACGCCATTCCGGCAGCAACCTGTGGAAAGTGGGGGAGAGGGCACATCCATTATACCCTGACCGGGTGACGGTGATTGTCACAGCTGTGGCACTAACCAGGCACACGGGGCCTACCTGTGCTGCCATGTCCACAAGATTTGGTAATTTCAGAGCTCTTCCTTCACCGTCTTTTAAGAAATCAAGCAAACTTCCTATGAACAAAACATAAAACCATTTCAATGTTTTGAAAGCTAAAAATTCCCAACAGAGGAGTAACTGGCTTTCTTTTTTTTTTTTTTTTTTTTTTTTGGTTTTTCTCCGGTACCGGGAACCGAACTCACGACCTTGCGCTTGCCAGGCAGGCACTTTTGCCGCTGAGCTAAATCCCCAGCCCCTGGCTTTCTTACTCTAAGTAAAAGATTACTGAGTAGAATAACACTATCAATAAAGATAGGGTTTTATATGATGCTAGGGCAAAAAAATTTATGCACTACAAGGCCAGTTTTACCTTTTGAAAATACACAGTATTGATTTCATTTCTGAGGGTAACAAAAAATTCGACAAAAGAAGAAATGAAACTCAATATCCACGAGGAACATGTAGGGATCTGTACCCCTTGAAGCTCATCCCCCAACTAGCTCTGCAGAAAGGAAACGATAGAGGGAAAATTTAGCCCAGTTGAATGGTCCAAAAATGTGGCCCTGGTGCTGGCAGCAATAGTACCAGCAGGCTTGCTGGAAATGCATGTTCTCAGGCACCACCCAGGTCTAACGAGCCAGAAACTAGAAGCTGGACTCATAAACCTGTGTTTTAAGAAGCCTCCAAGTTATTTCTGTACAATGTAAAGTTTGAGAATGACTGCCCTAGCTTATGTACAGATTTTAAGTCCAGAAAAGGATACGTGAGGAATATGTGGGGGGCAGCCAGCTCCCCCTAATTAGATCATAGCCTGCCAAGCCTTAAATCAGACATCTGAAACAAAACAGCTGGGACTTCAGAGTCAGTCTTGTAAGGCAGCCTGAGCAGGCTCAGAACTAGCACCAAGACAGAAATAATCATTTGCAGAAGGTGGAGGTTCATGATGGCCATCAGTGATTTTTTAATGCTTTAATCATAAAGTTATTTACAAAATAACCCTGGATACGAAGGACAAACAATCTGCCAGGAAAAATTCCATTTATATTTTAAAATAAAGTACGTGGCAAAGAAAAATACACTGGTGTCTTCTGATGTATAATGCATTGCCTTTTAAGGCTGTTTCTTGTTTTCATCTATTTTTCCAAAACAAAGTGATCTCTCTGGCCTTATCCCCAACAATGCTGGTATGATTACAAAGACTCTCTCTCTTACACACACACACACACACACACACACACACACACACACACACACGGAATAAAATACATGTCTTTTCTTCATCTGATATTTAAGAAGAGAGCTGAAAGAAAATGAAGATGCTGAAATGATGGAGACTAAACTTAGTCCAGAAATTAGTGCCTGATATTGTTCAGCCCTACTAAAAGGAAATTTAACAGAAGTTATTGCATTCCAAGTCAAAGCAAATTGTTAAAGCCTCTCTACCATGTCTAATATTAAAGTAAATCCTTTAATTATAAAGAGAAACTTGAACTTCTAACATGCGCAACATGCGATGCCCTGCATTTCACAAGGATGGGGGTAAACTCAAGGCTGGTCTGTTTTAAAGGTATTTTCATTAATCAGCACAAAGCGATGCTTCCTGATGGGAATGCTGGACTCCTGCAGAAACTAGGGACCAAAGCATGCAGGAAGCTGAATATCGCTGCCTGAAACAGGCCCTATACGTCAGCGTGGGGTGGAGACAGCAGAAGCACTGCCCGACCTTTGTTCATGTACTCGGTGACGATGTAGATGGGCTCTTCAGACACCACCGCGTACAGCTGGACCAGCTTGTCGTGCTTCAGCTTCTTCATGATCTGCGCTTCCTCAAGGAACGACTCAGGGGACATTGTGCCTGGTTTAAGAGTCTTTATGGCTACTTTTGTGTTTCCATTCCAGGTACCTACAAACATCCCACAATATTAAGTCAAACCAAACATCCTCTTTTGATAGAAAAAAAAGCTTTAGGCTAATAGGTATTTACACTAATAGCTAAAGCTAGATTTTAAGTTTTAAAAACCTAATATGGCTTTTGTGCACAAAGGCAGTCAACTACAAGGACTCTGTCAAAGTATTTTAATAGGAAAAATGAATTTACTTATGGCTATATTATTTACTGTTTTCAATTTTTGTCTGTCTATCTGAGCCATATGCTTGCAAATTTACATCAAAAGCACTGGACCCCTTGTTTAACAGTGAAAAATGTCCAGAGTTTAGAACAGTCCTGACAGTCCTATAGCCATTCCTTCCTCATGGAGTGAGCACGGAAGATATTAGACTAAGCTCCATTTTATGGGTTACACCATTCAAAGTACGTTATGGGGACACACTGAGGATGCTTGGAAACTGAGTAGGTTTTCAACTGTCTGCAGTGGACAAGCTACTTGACTGAGTCCTTGAACAGTTGAGCTAAGCATGCAGATGAGCACTAGCAAGAGCTCACAGCCTCCTTGTCAACACTTCCCCCAGGCAGGCACATCCCTCACATTTACTAATGGTCAGCCACCATAAGGCCAATTGCTTCTATCAGGTGGACTGGGAAAATTAAACAGCAGGTAGGGGGAAACAGAAATGTTTAAACTTTCCATGTTAAAATATCTAGTTGATCCAAAGGCAAGGGTCAGTTTATGGTCATGGTCAGTTATGTCACCTGTAAAATATAGAAATGGGATTGGATTGTCTGTTGAATCTCTTTTAGCTTCCAAATTAAAACAAAACATAACCAAACATTGGATTTTGTATGTATTCTATTGTTAGAGGTGTGATTCAGAGGGTAGCTTTATTGTTTTTGTTTTGTTTTTTGAGACAGGGTCTTGCTACGCAGTTCAGGCTGGCCTCACACTCACTTGCCTCAGCCTCCCAAGTGCTAAGATTACCGGCATACAGTGCCACACCTGGCTCTGAAGGATAATTTTATAAAGGGAAAAGAAATAGCTGTTATTTAAAAGAGAAGACTACTGTAAATTAATATTCATTTTTATATTTAATCTATGGCTTCAGGATCTAGAAATTCTGTAAATTGGAGCAATTTTTATTACCCTGTTAAAAATGTAGTTTCTATAACTACTTGGAACCTACAAAGATATAAATTATGGAAGAACCAGTGACTTAAAGAAGAGTTTAAATATCATAAAGTACCCATCTCTAAGAGTCAGTGGGAAATTTGACAATGTGTAAGTGATCTTTGTGATCAAAATTTTAGCAACCTCCAAATTTAAGTACTGTAAGATCTTCCTCTCAAATAGCAATCTGAATAATTACATAGGTCCCCATTCTGATTTTGGTGGTGTGTTGTTTTACATTTCATGGGAAACAGAGTCTTAGTGGTCTAGGTAATGATTTAAAATTGATAACTAAAAGTATGAAAATAAATTTTCTTATAGGACCCAATTCTTCCAGACTGTGTCAATGATTTGATTAAAATCCTTAGGATCCACAACTTCAATTACGAGTTGGGTGAATAACGGGGAAGAAAATACAAATATTTCTTACAGTACTTGAAATGAAGTCCAAAGGCAGACACAATCATCTGAATTCCTTATTATAATAGTGTATGCATACATTTATATGTGTGTCTCAGTATACTTCTGTCTACTGTCCATTAGTGCATCTATCTATCTACCTATGTAATATATCTGTATAGTACTACTTGCCAAACCCTCTTTTACCCAAAGATCTCTATGTTTTTAATAGACTCTATAAAAGAGGGATTTCCTAAGCTTTAGTACTGTTTTACTGACAAATGCAAAGCTGCAAGTGACCCACAGTGGTTATAAAAGAAATCCTGAGGGACCACCTACCATCTACAAGGGACTTTGAACATATTGTCCCATACAGTGCTCAAGACACTTTTATGAAGCAGGTACCACTTCAATTTTACAGATGAGAGAATTGAGGCTCAAAGAGATTAAATAAGTCCCTTATTAATGGTTGATCAGCTCATAAGGATTCAAACCAGGCCCATGGTCTTTATTGCTACCCACATACAGCATCTTACCTTCCTATTTCTTAGGAAAATACCACATTCATAGTGTATCAGTTCCCTGTTTGGCAGGTGCTTAATTAACCACGTTGAGTAGGACAGCTGAGCACAGCCAGGTATCACCATATCTTGAAAATCTGGATGGTCCATGGCCATCCAGTTACCCGGGTTAAGTGTCTTTGTCCCAGTGGCTATATGTGTGTGTGTTTGTTCAAAACTGTCCTTTTCACTGGCTTTGATTTGCAGCCAAAACAAAATGTGCCCCCTGCCTTACCAAGCCACACTTCAGCGAAACACCCCTGCCCCAACTTCTTCTCCAGAAACAACGAGTCACGTGCAACTTCCCAAGCATCTTTAGCCAATCCAGAGGTTTGTGGGGCACAACTCGATGAAATCACAGTTAAGTTAAAACATAAACCATCAGCTTTCTCTACAGGAAAGGGAATTAATAAAGAAAACACAGTCCTTATAATCCATAACCACGCATGCAACTAGGAAAGATGGAAGGTGATTTGCCCTACAGGGTGAAATTCAACAAATATTAGTGGCTGGAAACAGAGGCAAGACACGTTCTGTAGGCTAGAACATGCCTTCTACCATTTATTGGATTATGAACTGAGGCTCATGAAACAGCACCACCACCTGGGTGCTTTGCCAATGCTGTCAACTTATCTCTTTTTTCTAGAAATTGTAGAATTTTGAAACAGAAGTCATTATTCCCCATTTAGAGGAATTCAAACTCTCTTCCAGGACCCAAAGGCTTTATTTTCACCTTCCATCTTTGATGTTTGGGATTCCCAAACCAGGAAGCTAATAATAAGAGTAACTGAGTTTTAGCATACCCATCCATACTTCCCCAAACTGCCCATTTCCCAGTCTCTTGATCAACTGCAGGGATTCTCGAGGGATTTCCCAGACATCTTTGGTTTTGACAGACAGATCGGTAAGCCTCGGCATCCCTTTGTGACAGGGGACTACTAGGCGGCAGCAGAGACCTGCGGCTCTCTCTGATGGAGCAGGGGCAGCAGCAGGAGAAGAGAGAAGAGCAGAATACATGTAACAACAACACACACAGCGCAAACCCACACCCCACAGTGCACGGGGCACAGTGTACTGGGCAAGCTGCGTCCACAGAGAACTACGCACACTCAGATTAGACGCTGCATGATGACACATGTCCTTTGGAAGCGGGATAGATGGCATTTCAAGTTCCGACTACCCCACGTCACCGGTGTGATTTCCGTTTATGCACGGATACAGACACAGAATGTTTTGGTTTCTGTACTCACTAAGTGAGGAAACTGTCTTCAGCCCAAGGTGCCAAAGACACGCCTTCTGGAATGCTGGAAGTGGCCTTGCTGATTTAAAAAAGTACATTTTCACTAAAGCCTGTCTGTACGACTGTCCTTTTCTTCCTCTAGTATCTGGATTTCCTAGGGACTTGGGGAGCTCTCTGGTATGAATATGTTTAAAGCTGCAACTTCGCTGCAAGATTCTTTTATAAGACACTGGACAGTTATGAACAAATAAGCCTGAAGATTACATTAAGGGGAAAGATGGCACATTCCTCTGGATATTTTTTGGTATTCTAACCTCCTATTCGACCAATCAGATATGCTTGCATTGCTTCTTTGCAATTTCCTATTTTAAAAAAAAACCTTTGTAACATTCTCCTACGTGTAATTTTGCAGTCTGGATTGAAAGGAGAAAGAATGGAAACTAAGATTTGCAGAAACTCAATGATGGTGAAAGAAGGAAAACAGCAGTTATCATTCAAGAGGTTATTGGGAGGCTTCCCCCGCCCCTTTCTTTTCTACAAAAGTATACCTTTTAGAGTCTAGCAATGGTAGGGAGAAACTGACTAAATGTCAAGTCAAAAATCAGGTGAGAAGACTTAACAAAGAAAAAGAATTCAGGGAAGTGACAAAAGCAGCACAGAACTGGCTTGCAGGTGGAGAGGGCCCCCTCTCTCTCTGGAAGCCCTCACATCCAGGCAAAGCAAACACAGCACTGTTGCTTCATCTCTGGGAACTGACTGTAACTCACTTTTTCTTTCTTTCTTTTTTCTTTCTTTCCTGATGGAATCAGGTTATGAGATGTTTAGGCAGGAAATTATTTATGTGTCAATATTTCAAAGGCATTTTATGTGCAAAAGAGAAAGAGGGAAGAGGAAAAGCCAATATAAAAACAAATCTAACTTGGTTTTTTTAAGATGGTCTTTTCCCCCTGAGATTAAAAAATGTCTATTGTTCTTCATATCCCTTCTCTCCTTCCAGCTTTATGATGTTATTAAGGTGCCCTTTCCAACACAATATTTTCAAATGATCCAAACCCTAGGGATCTTACTGATGTTTGGTTGTAATGAAATATATTTCAGCATTTGAAAAATCCTTACAGCATGCAGACATTTTGAGGATCTCATTTAAGCTTGGGGAGAGATTCTGCTTCATTTCTTTCAAATATTTCATTAAAATCTCAAAAACCAAGACAGCCAATGCCAGAACTACCAGTACCAAGCACTGTTAATGTTTTCAGTTGCTCATTAGTGATCAGGATCAATATACAGCCATTTCTTATGGTTGTTTTCAAAAGACTGATTTTTTTTATGCTAAAAAAACCTCCCACACATATTTTTCAATGAATGTGCAGAGCAGCAGCAGAGGTCAAAGCTACACTATTCTGGAGTTGTGCCATTGTTGTGAGAACAATGCCAAATACATGAGTCACACAAAAACCTCCTGGGCTTGATGTGATATAGATCTGTATCTGTACATGTGTACTCATACCTGTATTCACAGCAGTATATGTACTGTATAGTTGGATATATATGCTAACTAAAGAAAGCAACTTACCAATTTTACATAAAACGACTCTTAAAAAATGTACAAGCCACACACCTATTCACCCATAATTTTGTTTCCAGAAATAACAAAATAATAGGGACATGTGGGTGTTAGGTCTACCTTTAAAAAGTTTAACACAATAGATGTAATACACAAAAGAGCTGTGGGTCACAGAAGTCCAACTCTAGTTAGGAAACAGAAGTGCCCTTGGGAAGTAGCACCTGGAAAATGGATTGATGACTCCCCTTGCCACCAGCATGAAATTCGTATTCAGATCTCCGGGATCAGAGCTGAGTGTGCAGGGATGGCAGGAATCCATGCTCCCTGGAGCAGTCCCCAGGGAAGCGCCCCCCAGTGACCCTTCCTTCTGCCCCTTGCAGGAAGGGGAGTGGGAAAAGGTAACTCGCAAGGACTTTAGGGTGGAAATGAAAATGAACAACTTTAAAGATTTAACCTATTGCTTTCTACTTGGAGAACTACAATGTCATGGAATCTTCTGATAAACACATGGAACTCATAATAACTGGTAGAAGCATAGTAATAGCGCAACTCAACCAAGCTCCACAGTCAGGGACGGGCAAAAGAAGACAAAACAAAACAAAAGAGAACAGAACAAAAGAGAACAGAACAATTTTACTAGACTTTATATATATTTGTTATACCTCCCTCCCTTTCCCTTCCCTTTTGGAGCTCTATGTGTAACCATCCCTCCAGCATTTAAACTGTTAATACATAGTCAGAGCCAAGGTTACCTGAGTAATGCTGTACAAGCTGCTGAAGTGTTTCAAACTGGGCCCGGGTGGTGATGTAGTATCCACCATTGTCAAGTTTGCGAATTTTATAATGTTTGACATGGTCTCCTTTCATATCATCCCAATCGCGGATAGAAAGTGAATAGGCACCTAATAAATATGCAAGCATTAGCATCCCCAATTATTTTGACTACAAGTTTGTCTTTTGACTATTCTGATTAATAATAATCATGTACTCTTTTTCTCTTCCTCTCTCTTTCTACCTCTCTCTCACTCTCTTTCTTACACACACACACACACACACACATACACCATTGCTTTTTTAAGTAATGAAATAATTTTGCCCTTGAGACTGGAAGCTTCCCAGCTATTTTTCTAACATCCTGTCTTTGGTGTGCTTGTGTTGCCTAACACAGCACAGGCCTAATTCCCTCAGGGGAAATCAAGAGAAACCCCGGTCCTGTTGAGCGCACCTCCCGTTGAGCACGCCTCCCTGGGGTTCTCTCCCTGGGGGCCAGGGAAGACAGGGCTGGCAGCCTGTACAAAGGAAATCCACAGGCAATCTCTAGAGTGAGCTTCAAAGTTCTGCTTTATAACACTGTACAGGCATCATCAGTGTCTGACAGCTCACGCTAGAAGGCCTCACTTTTCCCCCCTTGACCTATCTCCTCTTATGGGCTTTAATGGGTTGTTAATACAGAGGAAGAGCAAAAATCTTCAGTTACTAAAAATGTAAAGGGAAACAAAAACAACCTGTATGACTGGCGCCTGAGAAACTAAGAGTTTCAAAAAATCCTAATTCTAAAGGACTTCTGAAACTCTGTGATCTGTGCACCAGGAGCAGGGGGGCTGCCCAGAGTCCAGCTCAGGAAGAAATCTCTATTCTGAGCCTCTGTAGTCCGGCACTGTCTGCAGTTCTAGAGCCTCCAGGGGAAACTAAAAGCAGAACTCCACTCACAAGGCAGGGAGGAGAGGTGCCACTTTAAAATCCTTGTACATTACAGATAAGCCTTTCATCCCTTTGACTAATCCACAGATTTGAATGACAAGCCAGCTTCTTCAACTCCTTATCGTACCTTTGGTGGTTTCGCTCTCACGGATAAGAAAGGTACCTCTTGGGTTTCCAAAGGACAGAAGCTGTCGCTCTGCATCTTTGCGGCCAAGTTTTCCAAAGTACCACCTTTAAATGAGATCAAGGAAAGGGAATACTTTATGACAATCATCTATGGAACAGAAAGCACAGCCTGTTCCTGCCCAGGGTCTCCTGATCACCAATTCTGCCCTTAGCCTTTAGGTATATATTTTTCCAGCTTTTTTTTTTGTTTTTCTCCGGTACCGGGAACCGAACTCACCACCTTGCGCTTGCCAGGCAGGCGCTTTTTGCCGCTGAGCTAAATCCCCAGCCCCCTATTTTTCCAGCTTTATTCAGTTCTCTTTCAATCTAGTCTTGCTTCTGTCCCTACTCCATCTCTTTCACACTGAGAAAAAAAATCAGATTTGAATTGTGGGTTGTTTTCCTTCCTCCCAGGAGGATAGAGTTGGCTTGTATTAAAAGTGCCACCTGCATGCACATAAACATTGAAGACCCTGTTTCAAAATGGCAACTGTAGGAGACATTTCCTACGCTCATCTACAAGACCCTTGGTTTCTGAGCATAATTACAACCCTTGGGAAATAACAAAACAGTCTCAGTATGGAGAAAGATCACTAATCAAGCTTTTAAAATACGTATATATAAAGAAATCACTCAGAATGGATAAAGGGTAAGTAAAGATGGATGACACTTTTAGTACACTCTTACCTCCTGGAATTCTGAAAAAGGTTATCAAGTTCACCCTGATGTGATGGCTACCCTTGGATGCTTATTTTGAATTGTTCTTCCTATACAGCAGGTGTGAGGGCTTGGATAAGTAAAAGGTATTTCCCAAGCACCTGGTCTACTATCTGCTCTGTGGCTTTCCTGGCACAGCTGCAGAGACTGCTTACTGTGAGTGCTTCAGATACCTACAGTCAAGGAGCGTGTCCTCAAAAACAACTTGGTGGAGCAGGTATTTTAATATTACATTAATGATGCTTTGTGCCACTTTAGGAGGAATCACCTTAGGACTATTGTCTTGTATCTTCTCCCTGTCCTTGCAAGCCTAGTCCCTGGCAATGAGTTTACACTTCTGTACTAGGTGCTGAATGAGCAGCGGGTGCTCCAAGAACCCAACAGAGAATTTTGGAGCATTCCATTGGAATCTGTGCGTTGGAACAATTTTTGGAGTACTGAACTCTGAAAGGATCCAGACTCTTAAATGAAGTTTCAATTCATTACACTTAAACACAGTTATTATATGTTCACTGTCAAAGTCTTTGTGAATGAAAGAATTTCACTGGAGATAAGAAAAAAGAGCATGTGTTAACTCTTCAATGATTTCAGAAGTACCAAAATGTGTCACAAGCCCTAATCTAGCACTACTGATACAAAGAATATTACACCAAGCATTCGTAAGAATTGTCTTTCTGGGTTGGTATCAATAATCCAATTAAAATGCTGTGTGAGGGGGCTGGGGATTTAGCTCAGCGGCAAAAGCGCCTGCTTGGCAAGCGCAAGGTCGTGAGTTCGGTTCCCAGTACCGGAGAAAAAAAAAAAAACCAAAAAAAAAAAAACCAACCAAACAAACAAAAAATGCTGTGTGAAACAAGGGTGAATAGGGATTTTCTGTAACAATGATTTACACCTAAACAGTGTTTAAGAAAACACTAATTGACAGCATATGTAACATCATAGGCATTATTTTAAAATATCTTATTCTTTTAAAATAAAATAAAACTAATCACTGTAAGTAAAACTTAAATATATAGTGAGTAGGTTCCTAGTTTAAGTCAGAGTAATGCTACATTTTGGTGGGAGTTTTATTCTGAAACAGCACATATGTTTGCAAATCTGTCCTAAAATATCCATTTGATACAAACCCCCTTTCTCACTGATAATGAAATACATTTACTAGGAGGAAAAAAACCCCAGCTCAGAACCACTGAGTGTTAGAGAGGGGGAAACAAAGCACATATTCTTAGGAGAGGAAACACAAGGGAATTACAGATGAGAGAAGGAGCCAATTGGGGATTTGGCTAGGGGTAGAGTCTAAACCTCCTTGCAGTGCTTAAACAAATCCATGGCAAAATTAAATAACAGAGCCAAAGGTTGGGCTTAGTGGCTGACTCTTTTCTACCCCTTTTTTGGTGAGGCAAGTCCCTGAGGTATCAGGGAAGAGGCCAATTTCCTGCATTTGGGAAACCGCTGCCCCAGCTCCGTCCCCCCAGCTCCAAGTCAGGGCTGGCACAAGCTGTGAATGCAAGTCTCTCCTTTGGAAGTGCCTGCTCGCCCCTACAGGTCAGAAGGGACAGTGGTCTTCCCTTCTAGAACCTCTCAGCCTACTGATCACCTTCCCGAATGCCTCTCAGTGGAATATTTGGGTCAAATATCTGCTCATCAATATTTACTATCAAAAATAACTGAGACCCCAGTCAAAGGGAAGAATCATTGGAAATCAGTCACTTCAGGATTCCAAGTTGTGGGATGTATTGTATGTGAATACTTCCACTGGGGTGTGGAAGGTATGACTTTAGTATTCCTGATTACATCAAGGAAAAAAATCGTATTTTAATCTTTCATAATTATTTTCCCCTCCCCTAGGAAGCAGACTGTAGGCCAATCTGGGGCTGTCAATAATATATGCAGTAGTGAGAATTTCATCATATTTTTATGAGTGCCTTTTAATCTATAAGTTATATTGAGTTTCATTAAGGGTGCTGAAATACAGTTTCCTTTCAAGATAAGTATAAATTAAAAAATGCGCAGGCTTAGAGGGAAGTATTAAGTTAATAACAGTACAAGCGCTGCAGAGACATGACAAAAACCAAGGCATAAAACCTGGGAAAGACAGAATTACCACATCCTCTCAACCAGCAAGTTCTTAACACAAGTGAATTTCTTCTTCCTTTTGCCAAACGTTAAGGGCATCAGACCAAGGCAACTAACTTTTAAAAGCACACAGTTAAGTGAAAACAACAAAATAACATACTCTTCTGCTTGGATAGAGTCAACTGGTGCCACATAATTGCTGGGAATATAACCAGTCTCTCCAGTTGTCAAGGAGCGGGCTTCCCACCAGTCTCCTTCCCTGGAAAGAAAAGAGAAAAACAGATGTTCACGTCTCCCATTTCAGCATCTGATAGCTGGACTGGATGCTGTGAAGTCTGAGACTGTTACTGAGTTATTCTGTCCCCTGTTCCTCCTTTTCTCTAACTCTGACATACTTGCCTCGCCTGTGCAAGTCACAGTTTACAACTGAAGTCACTCATGAGCTGAGCCGTGTTGTCTCCCACTGTCCTTGTGAGATGCAGTGCTCTGGCCAGGAGCAGTTCTCGTGTTGAGCAGGTGCTCTGCCAGGTAAGCAGCAGACTTGGACCTGGGGGAAGCAGCCCACCCTCAGGTTCCTTTAGAATACCACTGCGGCTGCAGACACTCTGGGGAGGGAAGCTATCAGGCGGCCTGGGGAGGGGTGGATGTGTGCTCTGAATACCTGCCTTACTTGCTTGCATGGAAATGCAAGGTGCGGTTTTCAAGACTACAACAGCAAGGCCTTCCTTGGGCATTTGTAGTCTGAAGTTATTCCATCAAATATTTCCAGCACTGGCTGCTCATGTCTCATGGGCGAGAGAGGGACGGGAGGCATGAGCACAGGCAGGGGAAGCACAAACACTCAGAGGGGTGTGAGGGTTCCAGTCACAGTCCTTTATTCCGGGCCGCAGTGCGGTCTCATCCTGGAGTCCTCAGAGCTGTGAAGAAGGGCCTGTGACACTACTCTTAGCTTGAAGCATTAAGTAAGTTACACAGTGTAAGTTCACATGGTTAGATTCGTGACAAAGAGCAGGGGTGGAGTGTGTGCTCTTTCCATTAACAGCAAGTAGGTGATGGGCCACGGGCCATGTGTGTGGGCCACAGTGGTGGCTTTGGCTGCGTGTCCCACCTCCAGGCTGCAGTCAGGAGCAATATGACTGCCCTCCAGCAATAGACCTTAGACTCTGGCAGGGCTGGCACCTTCTCTTTCTTCTTTTCTGGTCCTAGAAGGTGGCAAGAAATCTGGGCAAAAACTCCCACCCTCCTTAAAATGACCATTTTGGCCAGACTCTGTTTCAAAGCTAGGGAAGAAAATACGTGAGATATGGGATGGGGAACGATCCTCCCCAGACTGACTAACCAGCCCGTGTTATACCTGGGCCTTCCTCTAGTGTTCCCTAAGATGGCGCCTCTGAACAAAGGGAGCAGTGAGTGAGGATCACATAGGACTTCCTAAAGCCAAGGCTCAACGGTGGCGAGACATCGCGGGCACCACGGTGGGTTTGGGCTTGCTGGCATAAATAATAGAATAGCTCACAGAAAGCATGGTGCTGGTAGGGACTTTAAAAAGTTATGCTTAGGGGCTGGGGATTTAGCTCAGCGGCAAAGCACCTGCCTGGCAAGCGCAAGGTCGTGAGTTCGGTTCCCGGTACCGGAGAAAAACCAAAAAAAAGAAACAAAAAACAAAAAGTTATGCTTAGTTTTTAATCTCTCCTTTTTACCCTATTAAACAAAAAAGATCAATCAAAAAGAGAGAGAATGGTCCTCATAAAGTCTTTAAACCATACACTTAAATCCAATTTCTATTCGCCCCATTTCTTTACATCCCAAAGGAAATACATGCAGCTGTAAATCTATAAGACCATGTACACGAGTTTACTTTGTTTAAAATTATACATTTAAGGAAATGGCTTTGGAGATAGTACTTTCCCTTCAACACTTTGACAATGTTTAATGCTCTGACACTCCACTAGATGGAGACATTTTACCACACAAATAACAATACTCCTCTCTTCTCTCAATCCCCCAACCCAGGAAATGCTCCAAAATGGCGAGGGGAAAAATAGTGTTTGTAGTACAGGCTTATTTTTTAATGCACAATAACCTTCATCAAGTTAGTTCTGATTGAGCTAAACTGAGAAAAAGGCTAGCATACATCTCAGGGGATGTGGCGATATTGGCAGGAGCAGGAAACCAATACATTTGCAGCAAACCAAAATAATTTCCAATTCAAATTCAGCATTGACTATCTCATTTTGACCTAGAGGACCTAAATAGTTTAGCACAGATTAGAATGAACTATTGGCTTGTCCTAAAGTCACGTTTAAGAGTTCATGACTTTCTTGTGTAAACCCATTAATCTTACAAGAGTTTCTGTTCCTCATGAGAAAGATACCATCCAGGTCACTTTCTCCATAAAAGGAGACACAAGGTGGCAGAGACCCAATGAATTATTGGTAAATATCACATTTTACTACATTAACCTCACAATTTACTCCCACTGGGCCCAGGGAGGCTGCTACAGATAAAAGCATCTATCAGAAGTAATTGCGCAAGTGAACAAACCTTTTAAACATACTAGAACCACTAATTCACCTACAAACAAATAACACACCCTACAAGTCACGTTGGTAAGGAGAACAGGATCTCTGATGTGCCTCTCATTGTTTTACTTGAGTTACTGTGGGTAATGAGCATCACTAAATCTGCACCTCTTTAAACTGCTCTTACAGATCAGATTTTTTCATTCACTCACAGTTGGTGGGATATTCTTTAACTGCTATGCTAATCAATTCAAATATATGATTTAAGCCTTGGTGCTGGTATAGAATGGCTTCTAAGTTTTTATAACAGTTTTCCCTCTTCCCCTGACTTAAAAGCCTGTCCCCAGCCCCCAAAGTTGTTCACAGGGCTTGTGGTCTAGGCAGCTGGGATCCCAGGTACCCTGGACGCTGCACGGAGCTAGGAAGTGGCCATTGCCAGCAGAAGTCAGCGCTGATCTGCCCAGCCACGGAGCAGTTTTATTATCATTTGAGCAGCTTTATTACCATTTGATGGATTCCTTCTACATTTGGTCACTGCCCATCTTACTTTCAGAGAAACCTAGCTGTAACAATTTTACCAAATGTTTGGGTTGGTCTTGAAACTAGGATTTATTTCCATGACAGAAAAGAACTTTAAACAGTCCCCTAAGCAAGGATCACTACTGCCCTCTGCATTTATTAGGGAGTCACTGCTTTGGGACAGTAAATCACTGCTCATGAAGTGTGCAAACAGGGCTAACACGGATGAACTTAAGCACTGTGTAACACGGGTTCTGGGTGAGTAATGCCCTGAAGACACCCACACTGAACTCTGAGCGAGCCGAGCTGAGCAGCAGTGCCTCGGCCTCTGGGCACATCTGTGCACCCGCAGCCAGAGTGGATGCTGCCCTTCGCAACACAAACCCCAGGGCCTCCGGGAAGGAGTGGGAGGACACACATTAGGTGGGGCAGCTGCCCAGGGAGAACACAGCCCTGTCAGCCCTGAGAGCCAGGGGCCCGGAGGCTGGGGGAGGGAGGAGCCGCCTGCCATCTGCTTCTGTGTTACTGCTTTGTTTTCCCTCACTGTTTTCTCCTCCCTGTTATTACCCTGCCTTCAGGATTGCATATATGTTACACAGTTCTTATTTTTCTTCTCCATAACCTTGAAAAAGGGCATTCAAGTGGCAGACTGGATGAGGAATTCCACCAGCAAAATGGGAAAGCATTCAGAGGGAAAAACCTTTTGTGATGTTTTCTTCTAAGACAAACAAGAGAAGAGGTCCTGAGGCTCAAAAGCCTCTGTAAACATCAAAGGCCACACATGCAAATCACAAAATAATATAGCCTGGGAGAGACTGGGTCCTCCCCTTGAATGTTTCTCCAAGCCGCAGTATGATGACCCTAGGTAGAACCTTTCCAGATTAACAAAGGAAGACGTCACAAATGTGACTTCCGCAGGAGCTGACTTTCCCAGGGTCCTACAACCTGATGCTGGGATCCACTTGGAGCATAAAGACAGGAACTTCTTGTTACTTACCTTTTAAACTTACAAACCATTTTAAATTTCTAATAAATATCACCACTTAGAGAATACTGTATAGAGTGGGGAGGGGAAGTGGTATGTATTTCAGAATTCAAAGTTAACAGACTGACAATAAGCATTTGTCTGAGACTCAAACTAACAATAAAGACTTACAAATCAGAAGAGATCAAAGCCAAATTCTTTCCTCCTCACATCCAACTGTCCAGCCAGCCAACTGTCCAAGTCTTCATGTAACTCCAGTGTCTCAGTTGCCTTTGAAGGTGGTATCTGTGCTTTCTCAAGGTCACACCTGACACTGCGCTTGGGGTCCTGACCCTCACATCGAGACCTAGGCCCTGTGCCTGGCGGTTCAGTGTATATAGGCGGTTCCCCGAGCTGGGCCTACAACTCGTCAGATGTCAAACAAAGACCACAATACATACCCCAGACAGTTGTCATGAAGAATCAACCAGCGCTTTTGTAACTTAGCACACGGCTGCTACATAAGGAGCCTTCAGTACATGGCAGCTGTTTACTATTTTTAAGAAATTCCTGTAGCTATAAGACGTCTCCTACGGTGGGGGAAAGCAGGTGCCCTTCTTTTCCTGGCTGCTGGTTGCACAGGCATGTTCAGTTTGAGAAAATTCAGAAAACTGTATGTTTTTAAAAACTCTGGTGAATTTTATGTAAGCATTGTTATCATTTTTTCAGTGTAAACTTGCCTGGCAGTAAATCCATTCACAGTGTTACACAGTCATTTCGTGTTGCACAGCCATGCCACAGTGGATAGGTGTATTTTTCTACATGTATTTCAATAAATTTAGAAAACTCATCCATACCTTTGTTAGTGATGATGATAATAGTAATTAAAAAAAACCCAAACCAAAACAAAGCCTGTTGTTTATGCAGACAGCGTCTTCTGACAGCTGTAAGAACAGTCCTCAGGTCTTGCTGTGGAAAGGTGGCTTGTTCTCTGTCTATGGCCCCATAGCTGAGGGCGTCCTAGGAAGCAAGCCCCAGGGAGGTCGTTTCTAAGGGAGCCTGAGGTCCTTGCTGCGATTACCCTCTTGTCTCTCACGGTGTGGGCGGCATGCAGACATCTCTCTGTGCTCATCCTTTTGGGAAAGCTAAAGAGTTGGTCCTTAGGACTTTTCATCACCACATAATCCAGTTTTCTCAGCAGAGGAGAAGCAACCGGATGTGGTCGCACGGCAAAACCTACTAATGTGCTCTCCGCCCTGGCTGCATTCTTTCTCATTGCCAGGCAGTACTCATGTGGACACAGCAGGCCGGGCTGGCTGATGAGGGCCGATGCCATTTTCTCGGGAGCCAGGGTTTTTCTGGAGAGCACTCGTGCATTGCACTGGCTCAGTGTAAAGAGAAAATCGTTAAATACCGAAGCGGCGCTCACTCTTAGGAAGGGAGGAAGGGAGGACTGGAGAGGCGAGTGACCGCTGGGTAACTTGGTCCTCATTGCCACACTGAAAATGCCTGCACTGTAGTCACTCAGGAGTGGGTGACACTGCCTCTTCTTTCTTCTCACAGAGATTTAGTTCCTCCAAAATGTTCACTGCAGAGCCCGCCTCCACAGGTGTTAGCTGAGGCTTGTTTAGCAGTTGTGAAAATGGAAGGGACTTGTTGCTCGCCTGAAGCGCGGGCTTAGTTGGTGCAAAATTCAAAGGGTGCAGCCCTGCCAGGTGCCCATCATTTAAGTGTACATGAGTGTGAACGCCAGGTGCTGTGGAGGGTGCTGCTGGTGCTTTCCAGCCTTTAAACTAAAATCCCAACCTGAACACATACACTCTGCCACTACGGCACCCTCTAGAGGCCCCCCTGCACACAGTGCCATACCATGCTGCATTACACCCCCGCGCTGCTCTCCAATTATACTGCTGTGAGCCAGTGAATCCGTAAAGCTCTCAGCATTTCAGGTATCTGATGCGATGCAGGCTGCACAGTGGATGTTTTCCCAATCAGAAAGCTTGTGTGCCACCCCTTTCCCGCCCGAACTTACGAGCTGTTCAGTATTTGAAACTTTTCTCCTTTGTGAAAGCTCAGGTCATCTTCTGTTCGTGCTTCATAGTCATAAAGAGCCACGAAGAGAGTCACTCCTGACAAGAGGAGGAAAGTGATTATTACACAAGGGGAAATGAAGTCCGAAACTTCATCTTTGCTAAAACCTCATCCTCAGTCTACGTTCAGTCAGCACTGACGATTTTCTGAAGTGTGATGAATGTGGGAAAACCGGAGCTGTGAATTTGCCTTGGTCTCTGTCTGGGTTCACTGCCAACCTGATGAGACCCTGAAGCCGAAGGGCTTCCTTGGTGTGCCTGAGTCCTGGAGAAGACAGATCTGGACATCATGTCCAAAAGGAGAGGGCAGGCAGCGCAGCAGAATGGTTCAGATTTACAGGAATTGGTAGCAAATACTGGCACACTTTACCCCAAACACATGCTCTTCTACTTAGGAGCCCACATTAAATTCTGGGTAGAAAGGATCTCTTTCTCCTGATACAGCAGTAATGTACAAAGTAACAGGCAACTTTTTCTATCCTATGGGAAAATTTAGAGAAGATCCCTTTCGTAGTGTTCACCCCAACTGGATGAGCAGACCTTGCCTTTAGTGTTACAACTGTTTTTGTAAGTTTTAGCTCTTCAGTCCTGTTGCTGATGGTGGAATTCCTCTGTTTGCCTCATCTGAATTCACTTCTCTTTGCACTCTTACAGCATCACTCTTCCTCAGCTCTCCCTATGTCTCCTCATCTGGATGACTTCTCCCAGGGCCTGTACTGCTTCACAGAAACTTGCTATCAATAGTTAAAAATGTCCCGAGTCTCATTCAGCCTGGAACGCATTCCTCAGATGGGCAAGATTCTAAGAGAGCGCTCAGTGACTGCCTCTGGTACGCATGGCCTCTTGCAACCTTCTTCCCTTGAGAAGGGGCTGATCCTAGTGACTTGCTTCTAACCAACAGAATGTGCAAAGGTGATCTGACCCTTCAGCGTTAGGTTTCAGGAGATGGTGACCTCTGTCTTCTCTGCAGACTCTCTACTGCTACATCAGCTTGTAAGCTTTGATGACTCCAAGTGCCTCATTGGCAAGGCCACGGGACAAGGAACGAGGCAACTGCCAGCAAGGAACTGAATCCTCCCAGCAGCGCGTGAGCTTGGAGGCAAATGATTCTCAGTCAAGCTGTGAGACGACTACAGCAGGCCACCACACCTGGGCTGCAGCCTGGGACGGACCCTGAGGCAAAGGCCCCTGCTAAGTCACTCCCAGATTCCTGACCCATAGAGACTGCAAAATAAATGTGTGTTGTTTTAAGTGGCTATGTTTTGTGGCAGATGGTTATATAGGAATTGCTAACCAGAAAGTTCCTCTCTGCAACCTGGCTTCTCATTTTGATCCTTACACTTCAAGGTGCCTGACAGCGCCTAACAGCATGCAGCCTACTCTTCTACCAAGCTGCCCTACTGTTGGGAACATCGTTCTGAGGGAACAGATGTGCCTACTGGACTACCCAAGAGCCAGAGAGGAGCACCCCATCCCAAGAGAAGCAGGATAGCTGGCACTGAGCTGGCCTGGTGATGCAGAGCAGAGTTCATTTGGCAACTGTCTACCTTTTAGATCTCTTTGAAAGGTTAGAAAAGACACTGGCTTAAAAACCTGTGGGTGCCTCTAAGTTTATACCTATTCCTAATTAATACTCTATCAGCAGATTTAATTTATCACATCACTTTAAAACAGCCGAGCTGGCTCCACCATGAGGAAGAAGGGTACATGGAGAGGAACATTCCCACCCTCTTTCTGCTTCTGCTGACAAGTCCTCCCTTACAGAGGGTTTTTATGTTCTAGGGACTGAGGAGGAAATTGTGGTGGTTACAGAGAAGTGCAGACTTGGTTGCATCTTGGCCCTAAGGGACTGAAAGCCGCATGAGAGAAATGACTTGCATATATAATAAAACCAAATAATAAAAGACAGGAAAATCCGCCAACTTCTAGGGGCACCGTGCTTTAACTAAGACTGTCTCTCATTACAGTACACACCCCATGTTCAAGGCAAGCAGCCCTCTTCAGTGACCTTAATGAATGACACCTGCAGACTCAGGGATTCGTATCTAGTCTTCATGAATGAATGAATGAACAGGGAAGATGCCTGTGTCAGCAGAGTTAAGGCAGGGCTGCGAAGCTCTCATCCCTCTCACAGTGGAGATGTCTGTATGTGTGTGCATGGGTATACTTCTCTGCACCCTCAAGAGACAGAAGGGCCTAGACTGCTTTTCAGGTACCTTCTGGGAAGGCAGAAGGGACACACAAGCTTAACATACAGGCCTAGATGCAAGGGACACCCAGAGTTACCACAGCACAAGGGTGAATAGAGGATTTTGTGGTTTTTTTTTCCATTGGGTAGAGCAAGATATACTAGTACAGGAGAACAAGACAAGGTGCACAGCCCTGGGTCAGGCCCCCAGACACACCACACTGCCATGTGTTGGGTGCAGAGGTGGGAAAATCCTGGACAATGCCTCAGTAGTGCCGATTCCCCAGGTAAAAAGGCATGACAAGTTGTTATATAAGGCACAAGACATCTGCTCTGAAATAAGCCAAGAGATACTACATTCTTTTAAACTTTTGTCATAAAACAGTTTTGGAAAACATAATGTCAAATATCTGGTTACCGTGGTTCACATACTGGGAAAAAACTAAGAATGCATGAGATTAACTCACACAAATTTTGGAAGACATATTTCTGAGAATGCATGCCAGATATTTTTATGAAGTATTAGCTAAGTCAGCAAACACACATGGCAGTAAAATAAAGGCTTGTGGTTTAAAAGACAAGGAGATACCAAAAAAAAAAAAAAAAAAAAAAAGGGCAGGAAAACGGTCTCTTAAACATACATAGGACTCAACTTTAAAATATACACCCAGCTGGGCGTGGTAGTGCACACCTGTAATCCCAGCACTTGGGAGCTAAGGCGGGAGGATCACCACGAGCTCCAGGTCAGCCTGGACTACATAGTTCAAGGCCAGTTTTAACTACATAGCAAGACCCTGTCTCAAAAAACAAAAACAAAACCAGGTGAACAGACAGAAACTATATATATGCACAACGAATAGAATAAAATAAAAAGGATGCATAGAAAACTTGAGGGCTGAGAATCTCAGTCATATGGAAGATAACAGAAATATTACAGTGAGAAGTGGTCAAAACATTATGTTTTCAAATGACCCCGTTGGCCAGGAAGTGACAGGCAAGCCGAAGATCAGGAAGAGAAAGGGAAGGCCCTACTCCCCAGAAGAGAATCCATCTGGAGAATTCAAAATACAGCCAGAGTCAGTTCAGTAGCTTCTGATTCAAAAGATCTGGGAATGGAATCAGGCATCTGTGTTCTGAACAAGCTGGCCTGGTCACTCTGAGAGTACCTGGCCTTCGATGTCCAGAAGGCTACAGCTCACTAACATATGAGGAATCCTCACAGAGCAGCGACAGGGAGTCCCTGTTGCCCTGTAGCCGAGCACTTATCTGTATATCAAGTTTTGGGTTTTTTAAAAAAATGGCCCCTTATTGGTAGAGGATAGGGAGAAGCTGACTAGATACCTCTGTGTTTAAAGCCTGATCAGAGGCTCTGACTAGAGCACAACTGTTTGGCTGCCTGCAGAATTAGGAGCAGCCACCTCTACTCCTTGCAGCCCTCCGGACCAAGAAGCTGACAGCAGGGCTTACCTGTGCCTCCTCTTGTACGCAAGGTCCCAGTGTGAGACGAGGAGTTCACCCCTCCAAAGACGGTGAGCCCCTGGCCCCCCGCCGCATGGAAGTTGTTGTAGTTGGGGATGGAGGTCACGCCGAAGCTGGGGTAATGCTGTGGGGTGGGGTCTGTGCCATAGCGGTACCCGGAGCTCTGGTTCAGGCTTCCATCCCGCTCCTCCGTCAGTTTTGTTGCTTCTTTGTCCTTACATTGCACACAGCCCATTATCTAAACTCCTGTGGACAAGAAGAAAGCAGGCACATGAACTTGGATGCTCCCTAGTGCTGGGCTGCTTTGCTTCTACAGGGGGCTGGTTTAGCAAGCGTGCCCTTGGATGTTTCAGGCCATGGAGAACGTGAAGAAAGGCAGTGTAGCGTTTTGATGAGCCAATGGCCCGAGGAATCTCAGTTCCCCTGACTCGCAATCCCATTTTACTCTGGATGACGGCGGCATCATAGAGAGAGCAACGTTCACCATGCAGCAATTTTCCTCAAGTGAGGCCTGTACCCCTTAAAACTCTGTAACATTGCACGCCTGCCTAAGGATGCTCCGGTGACAATTGTCATTTCTTTTGTCATTTCAAAAAAATAGAATATGTGCTGTGAAACAAGTCTGTACAATACTAGAACAAAAACTTCCATCATGGCCAAGAAAATCTAGAGGAACTAGGAACGCTGGGAGAGCCAGACCACAGTCCCAAAGCACTCTCCCGTCTTCTCCACTCATGGTACCATCCTTCAGGCACCAGATTAACAACCAGCTACCGAGAGGGACATGAAGTTGGGGGAAGCTCAGAGGGCCATGTACATCTGCAGGGTGTCTGGATGGCCCACAGTGAGAAATCATTCAACACTACTAATTAACTTCTCAAATCTCCACTACCTTTTGATGTCTTTTAAAAATATTTTTTAAAAAACCATTTCTGTGCTCTGGAGCTAGTGGTGCAGTAAGAACTCGAGTCACTGTCACCTCATCCTCCTCAAACCTCCCTCTCCTGAGTCCCTCTTTCCAGGAAACAACACCCCAAAGACCCAGCTGCTCAAGCCACAATCCCGAGAAGCAGCCGCGACTGTTCCTTTGATCGCGTCTCATCTTCCTGGCTCACAGGCTCCCACTCCAACAGGCTTTGTCATTCCTTGGAGATTGTGTTTTCCTGCTCCCCTGCAGGCCTTGGAACATAGCCTTGAACATCCTTTCTCCCTCTTCTCTGAAAAACAGAGCCCTGCAAATCCTGTCAAAAGACCACTTCCTCTTCAAAGCCTTCTCTGATTCCTCTGCTGGAGTCAGGCTTTTCCTAAGTGCTCCCACATTCAAACACTTGTCCCATCACCTAAAGGACTACAGGTTCCAGGCAAGCCAGCTCCTGGGTGTTTCCTCATACACACATGGCCAGTGCCTGGAGCACAGCAGATGCTCAATAAATAACGCAGCAAGTGAAGACTCTGTAGCCCATTATGCTTTTCTCTCCCCCTTTATTTCTCTCTGTCCAGAAGCCAACCTTTCTTCCAGTGTCTATCAGCAGTGTGCCCAATTTTCCCATCTACTGGCATGTATGTGAGAAACGAGGGAGACTCAGAAATACAAGGCAAAGTGGTTAAACGGCCCCACTTCGGATGATAAGCTGACAGGGAGTAGCAGGACTCCCAGTACATGTCCCTGCCCAAACTCTGAAGAACAGCCCACTTGGGACTAAAGAATCCAGTAAGAAACATGACATCATGTGTAATGACACGTATTCCCTGGGAAGGGAGCAGCTGGCACAGGACAGGAAGAGGCTTGAGGCGGCCAAGGGAAAGGCAAGCACCCGTTTTCTTATCTTGCCAATTGCCATCAAGGCTGCTCCGTGGGACAGGGAGGCCCTGGGTGCTCTTCCGAGCGCTGCTATTCTCCGGACCGGCTGTGCAAGCAGCACCAGACTGTTCCACAGCCCTCTCTGGGTACATTTTCAATGCATGCTCACTAAATAGAACGCTGGTTTGTGAGCATGGGAATGTCTGGGAATGAGCTTCCTCCTGCTTGGGTTGAGATCACCAAATCTGGAACGCATTTCCTCATAAATCATTCGAGATTAACTTACTATATACTTTGTCCAACATGCTTTCTATTTTACGGTAAATGAATGATTTTAACAAGTTTCCAATAGGAAATGCAAAATATCTCCACGGTATGGTTTACTGAAGGCATTTCATCACTTCTTGTTGATGTTGCTTCATCAGACTGAAGATTATCTTGCTTGCTTTATATTAACTCTTTCATATAGAGATTTGCTCTGGACACACAAGCGAAACAGAAAACATTTCTGTGGTTTTTATCTTTTTTTTTTCAGGGGAGGTGGTGGGGTCATTGGCCTGCTATAAACAGAGGATGGAAGACCTGGATCCCAGCATCCCATCATTCATAACAATGGCTTTCAGCTGAGGGTGACTTTGCCCCCACCTCCCTGCCAAGAGACATATTAAGCAATGTTTGGAGATTTTTTTGGAGGGTAGTGGTGGTGCTACTGGAGACTGAACCCAGGGCCTTTGAACTATAGCTACACCCCCAGCCTCCCACCCTCTTTTTTAAAATTTTAAGAGTTGCTAAATTGCCAGGCTGGGCTCACCCTTGTGATCCTCCTGCCTCAGCCTCCCACACTGTCGGGATTCCAGCTGTGTACCACCACACCCAGCTATCTGGAGATATTTTTGATTGTCACAATGGCAGGGAGGGTGGCAGGTGGTCAGTGTTACTCCTTGCTCCTAATGGGCAGAAGCCAGACACGCTGCTAAGCATCTGACAATGCACACAGCAGCCTCCCATAGTAAGTAATTACCTGACCCTGACTATTAATGGTATCAAAGTTGAGAAACGCTGATTCACATGGGATAAGGAGTTTATAGCTATGTCTTTGAAGCAGTGTAACAGCTGTTTTCCTTACATAGATGTAATTAACATGTAACCCAGAATTCTTTTCTTAGAATGGGCATGCTAGGGAGGGGTAGTTTAAAAAAAATGACATGAAATGCATTTTTCCTTAGATGCTTGAAAGAAAAATAGAACTTAAAATGAATGAAATCTCTCATTAGAAACTACCATTCCAACTCTAACAAAATAATAAACCCTGTATCAGAAACCCTGCAAAACTAGGATCCCACACTTAACCAAACTAAGAAAAGATAATCTTCCATAATTCACTAAAAAAAGAAATATACTGTGAAAAATGACAACTGCTTATATATAACTTTATGAAATAATGCAGGGAAAAATCAAAAATACCTTAGAGGGAGAGGTTATTTTGGGGTTTTTGTTGCATAGATGCATTCCCAGTGCCTGGAGCAACACTGGGCACATGGTAGCAGCAATAAATGTTTGTTAAGTGAAAGAATTAAGAAAACATTCAAGATTATGTGGAAGAAAACCATCCGCTTTCACAGAAGGAACAGCATTGTCACCAGGCCATCCACTGGAAGTTCTGAGGTCATTGTTAGAGTTGGAATGGTAGTTTCTAATGAGAGGTTTCATTCATTTTAAGTTCCAACACTTCTGCACGATCTTGCTCTCTTCTTCACTGACATGCATAAGGAAACAGAACCAAACCAGTGAATGCAGGCTCAAGTCATTAAAAGTTAATCAGAATGAAAATATTTATATAAGAACTTGTGGTCTTCCTCCTCCCACGTGGGGCAGTCAGACTAACCATTTCCTGATGGAAGAGTCAGAAGACACTACTGAGTTCTACTCCATGTCACCAGGCCCTGGCCACAAGGCAAATTTCTGGGCATGAGCTAAAATAAGAATAGTCTTACTGTGCACAGCTATGTGCTGTGGCTTTTATGTCCAACATGGTAGGCTCGCCGAGAACACAGATTACATGGATACGCTTGCTCTAGATCTGTGGCTCACTGAGAAACAATGGATAATGTCATTCTGAAAGCAGGGCCCTGACCAGGAAAACATCACACACCTTGAGCTTGCAGCTATGACCCTCTGCACGTTCACATGCCTAGAAGAGCAGATGACAGCAAACACCCAACTGGATCTGGTGCCTGTGATCGAGAGTCTGCATCATGGCTGACAGCCCCCATTCTTCAACACTTTTTGCCACTGGAGGAACCCTGTTTCTACTAGGCAAATAAAAGCCGATTTACTTAAAATGTCTTGTCTTGAGGATATTTTCAAATGTGCCAAGAATATTATGCAACTGGGGCTTGTCACCTTTGGGCTAATATCAAGTGTCCTATGCAACTGGGGAGGAATTGCCAGATACAGAATTCATGGATTGCCCCACCCTGCTCCCATGAGTGTGGCAAACATTATCAACTGATGCTAGCACTTTGCTGTATCACGTGTGGCCTCAGCGTCCTTCACACAGCCCTCTAGTGACTGCCTCAAGGGCTGAGTCCTCTCCCTTGCTATGTGCACAAGCCAACGTGGTAGGCTCGCCGAGAACACAGAATACACAGATACGCTTGCTCTAGATCTGTGGCTCACTGAGAAACACTGCATAATGCCATTCTGAAAGCGGGGCCTGGCATCACTGGACAAGTAAAACATCACACACCTTGAGCTCACAGCTATGACCCTCACCTTCCGCCCAAGGTGAGTCAGGCTAAACCCACCTTCTCCTTCTGAAGCATGGGGACAGTCTGGTCCAGCAGATGTACAGTAACCACAGCAGAGAGCAAAGCCAGTAAGCTCCAGCTCCCACACTGCAGGACTGGCAAGAGGACTGCAGGTGTGTGCAGGGGCTGGGTACCACAAAGGAAAAAGGCCACTGTCAGTCTTGTGTACCCGCAAATTACTTTCTCTTGAGACACACACACTTGCAGGCAGAGGAGGGACGGCAGGAGGAAGGACAATACTGACAAGTAACTGCAATTTCAGCAGTGCAAGCACTTTTGCTCAGAAACCAGCCCAGGTGGGTGTGAAGAAGTGACAGCCTTTAGGTACATGACTTGCCATCCCTGCTCCTGAGAGCCGGGACTGTGGAGACGATAGGCACAGCCTTGTGTGGTCAGCACACTGAGCGCTTGTCTCTGGTGCACCTTTTCAATATTGGTTTGCTCTGGTCTCTCCTTTCCCTGGGCAAATACTGTAAGGCAAGTAAAAGAACAAGGAAGGAAGCTGAACTAAGGATCTGGAAGCCAAACACAGAAATGGAGATGAGCAGTTGAAAGAGCAATTGAAAGCTGAGCTGTAGATCAACTGCAGCTTCATACGCTCTGCTGGGAGAAAGGCAAAATCCAGTAGCTTCATG